TTAGATTGTGGTCGTACGCGCGTATAATTCGTCAGTCAATGTTTTTACAAAGTTGGAGAAAATACTACGCATTGCACACCTAAATGACCTACCTCGATACATTCCTTAGTATTTTAAAATTCTTTTTATGTTGTTAGATCGCCAATTGTATGGGCTTATCGGCAGAACGAAGAGATTTTAGTTTTTACATCGGAAATATATCAGCAATTTTCAAAATGTCGGAAGGGGAATTTCCCAGGGATTTCCCTTATGACTGGTGCATGCCGGGAACTGAATGGAGGAATTTGACGGTTGAAATAAGTTAAATATTACACGCAAATATTGCTATCAAAAACGAAAACCTCTTCGTTCTGCCGATAAACCCACACGATTGTGGATTCAACTACACGAAAAGAATGCTAAAATACCAAGGAATCTATCGAAATAGGTATCTTAAGTGTAAGAAGCGTAGAAAATTCTCCCATTATGTAATCGAGCAGACAAAAGAATAAGACGTTCGCAAGACTAGAACGTAGAGATAGTCTTGGAACGAGATAAGATCAGGCCTGATCGATCGTTATGGCAGCCAGAAGGATGAAGAGAGTCGAGTGGCTGCAAAACTGAGGTTGTATTTTTATATTTGAACTTCACTGCAGCGCTGAGCATACTTGTAGAAATACTGTGAATTATTTTCAGATTTTAATTTTGCCATTGCAGTCTGTTTGACTTTGATCCAACTGAGTGTGCATTTGATTTGGTTATTTGAAACAATTGATTTACTGTGATTGATTTTCTATGAGATAATTATGTAATTTTTGGCTAGTAAATCTGGTCTGATTTTGATATGCTCAGTGCGCAGGTGAAATTTTCTACAGCGCCACCTTTTGACAATCGCTTTACTCAAAGCTCGATGTTGTTTTGATCTTGAGGGCTGAAATATAGTCGCCATCTTAGTTAAGACCTTTGTAATTTGTTTGTAGTTTGTCAGGTTCGACTAAAGTCAGATTTTGCTTTTAGAACATGTAATTTGCTTTGATTTATATTTGATGAAACTGATATAAAACCAGATCTTATTTATTTATTTATAATTAAACTTTAAAACTTTACTTGATTTGTTGTGTTGATTGTTTGTAGTCATTGATTGGAAGTTTAGATGGAATAACAGTAAAATGGCCCCATACTTAACTTTCTGATATCTTCCTAACTTCATTTCTTCATTCTGTTCCAAATCATTCTTGTTCAATTAGTGTTTTCCACTTTTGTGTCTATTCAAAGATGGCAGCACCTTACAAATAGTCCAGTAATCAATCTTAACATTCAGCTCAAATCCGATACACTACGTGCAATGACCGTTCAGCTTACCACGCTACCATTTGTTTGCTCGTTCGGTCCTGTTTGTTTGTTTGTTTGTTTGTTTGTACGGGTTGCTTTGTTGTAGTATTGGTTAATTGATTGATTGGGCAGCCTGTACGTGGCAGTTTCGGGATTAAGACCGGAGCTGTTACAATTACAACGAAACTAACAGTTAAAGAACACGGTGACATATAAACAGTAAAATAAACAACATGTCTCTAGATAACCTACATGTGCTTTTGTGAACGCTGCATCGCATACATTCACATATTTATACAGGACTTAACAGCAGTACTATATGTAGTGTTTAAAGGATACGTTTAGGTGTCAACATCTACAGTAAAATTTTAAATGTTTGTGATTACTTTGAATTTAAAAATAAGCAATCAAATGGCCAAATTGAAACAGTTTATATAAAAATAAAAACATTTATATTTATCCTAACTTTTGTATATTTCAGATAGTAATGTTTAATGTGCAGCAAAGCTTTGGCCTTTTCTAATTTAGGGAGTTTTAGCCATGTTATTTTTTCCGAAAATAACATGGCAGAGAAGTATCAAAATATAAGAGGACACAGATATGATAGCTAAACTACAAAACAAACTAAAATATAAAAAATAAATATAAAAATATTAGTGTTTCTATTTTTACATAAACTGTTTCAATTTGGTCATTTTATTGCTTATTTTTTAAATTCAAAGTACTCACAAACATTTAAAATTTTACTATGATATACTGTCAAACTTTTCAGTCACAGAGGATATATTTTGGAGAATCCTGGTACTTTGGTAAGTGAATAAGTCTTATATAGTGAGCAATGCATTTAGCATGAAGTGTATATCCTGCATTGAATATTCGCAGAAAATTTATTTTATTTATTTTATTTTATTTAGAAAATTGGATGTGGCATCTCTGTGCTTGGGCGACTTTTACTCCAACCTTAAAGATGTTAATTTAAGAGCAAAAAAGGCTCCAAAACTTAATGAAATATGTAGTTTGGATGTTCATTTATGTCTGTGGATTATATTTTATACCACAAACACTTTATAAATACCTGAAATTTGCAATAAAAGTGCCCAAAAATTGTTGTTTCGAAATTCCCCATTTTTCCTGTATCGCGCTAGTCACGTGACCATTACGCGTAGCAGGCAATGTACAGATATTACAGTACATATAATATGTTCAATATGGCAAACATCAGCGATTCTGATTCCCGGGTTCTGGGAAATGGCTATATAAATCGGCGAGAGGGTGTAATTTTAATGAAGACAATTTAAGGAGGGGAAATGTGTGCAAGTATGGCAGTAAGAGAGCAGATATGGGGACTTTAGACAAGAACTATGACGGAGAATCAACTAAAAATGTGAGTTCTGGAATGAAGACCCGTTGCCATTGACTGAAGATTCCAGCGATCCTATTATCATACTCAGTTTGAATCTAGACGCGGAAAACAGATTATGAAAACAGGTTTTCTGCAAAGTTATCAAATTTAGAAAATATGGATCTTGTTTCTGAGTGGCTTAACAAGCATTTAGATACAAGACTTGGCGCTATCTCTTGTCAAATACATGCACTGGACTTGCAGTAAATTGGCCATTGCAAATTGCAAAATCAGATCGTCAAATTAATCGCTTAGTTTTTAAACCTACGCTTCATATCTTCTTCCAAAACTTTAGGATTCGATAGAGATAAGTTATAACTTGTTCAGGAAAAAATGGCAGATCCTACCTTAATTTAGAATCGCTGATTTCTCTGGACAAATTCCGAGAAGAAATTGTTCAACATCGCGATCACCTCAGACAACATGTCGCGTGCGTGTCACTCTGAACTCACTCTGAACTCACGTGATAAAATACGGCATCTTGATTGGTTATTACTCGTGTTGTCATGACGCGAAAAGCAGTAGTAAACACTGAATATGTTAATGAACTGCCATATATGGAACAGTTGTCTTTCTGATTGGTTAACTTTACACGCGTCCTAAATGAATATAGTAGTCGTAGTAAATGATTCATTGATAACTCTGAAAGTGGGCGTGACCAGCTTCATTTTGACACCAAATTCAAGATGTTTCAAATCAAAATGGCCTCGCAAGACGAGGTTGAAATATCAGCAATTTGATACTGATATGGTCTACGATAGATCAAAATTGCCTGCCCCGCGTCACATGTCACGTGAGCCTATATTTGTTGAAAAGTGAAAGAGATAGTGACACTTTTTAATCTTAAGTTTATACCAATATTACAAACAGATATCTATTTTTTTCATTATATATTTATTTCTTCATTATACATACATTTGTTTTATACTACATTGATTTATTTTTGCAAAACCTTTGCTATTAGATCTTTAAAAGCGTAGATATGACACCATCATTTAATGCTAAATGTGTTTTCGATGTCACAATTATTAAGTTATACAGTTCTACATGGCAATCAACTATGATGTGTTCGTTGTTAGTTTGGCGAAGCCACAACCAAATTGTGTTTGAGTGTTTTTATTATTGACAAATATTGACTCTAACCCTACTATCACACCAAACTAGTTCTCACTACGTTCTCGAAAACGGGCTTAAACTGTGCACGAACGGATTTCACATACTAAGAACCAACTAAGAACCGTTTGGGATCTGTTTACAAACTTCATGAGACTACTAGAACGAGTAGGTCCTCCAGCACTTAGAGCATGCTCAAAATTTTCTGGTGATCGTCAAAACGTTGCCGAATCGGTTTTAAACTGTGTGCGAACTGAATGGACGTACCTACAACGTTGTACGGTCTGTTTACGAACTTCATGGACTTTCCCGGACGGGGTATGTGATTTAGAATTTTGAATCGATGCAAAATTCGATGGCGACCATACCGTTCTGTAATCAGGTCATGATGACCTTCTAGACTAAGGGACGGTTTATATACTACTTTGCACACCGACGTAGTGCGACCTGAACGAACTGCGAATGAGATGGACGTATTGAAGACTGTTTATGAACGAAGTAGCTAATTATTTTAGACATATATCCCGACCGCAGTCAGATTGAGCCCGTTTTACGACATATTCGTAGGACTGGCAAGAACGGGTAAGAACTAGTTCGGTGTGATAGGGGGGTTATGCCTGGGTCACATTTGCTGCGATTCATCGGCCGGCGCCCGGCCGATTGAGTTTTCTGTTCAAAACTGAATACATTTGTGAACAAGATACTCAATCGGCCGGGCGCCGGCCGATGAATCGGAGCAAATGTGACCAAGGCATTACTCACTATGTAATGTTCGATGTTTCATTTTGGACCACATAAGTGTTTGGTTGGTTTCATCAGCAGTTTCGATTTCAGCGTGTACGGATTCGATCTAAATCTCTTCTAATCAGTGCTGTTCCTTTCTAAACAGAGTATTGGCTGATTTGAAAGATCATGTCCATCCGTGCATGAAAATCATATATTTTTTTAATCACAGGACATTCTCTTTATACAGGCATCCAACGAAAAGAACACAAATAGTTTATTCTAAAAGGACATGATCATGGCTTGGACTTTGACATCAACAAGTGTCGAACATGATAACTTTATTTGCAATATCACGATGTTGTTAGTGTTTGAAAAAAAGATCAACTTTGATTGTAGGTAGACTGTAGTGTTATGTTAGAAAATGGCATATACACTGAACCGAAGGGAGATGGAAATTGCCCTGGAAACGTTGAATCAACCAACGGATGAGTACCTTAGGATTCAGGTAAGTAGCCATATTATATCTGATTTTGTAATTCAAAGCATTTGCCAATACAAGTGAGCTGTAAATGCATTTATGTATCTGCCATATTTTGAGAAATGGTTCATTTACGTATATGGATTCATCAGAAAAGTATCAATTCACTGATTCAAAAATTATAATTGAAGGATCATATTTTCAGATGGTATGTTTGTTAAGGAACTGTTTACAGGAGGCAGTGACGGACTTTGCATTTATCGTGGATGATTTTCCAAACTTCAACATTATCATCAGTCGACCAAAAGATCTAACTTCGGTAAAACATGTTATTACACTTTTCCTCAACATGGCTTCTTGCAATGAAAGTTTTGAGAATGATATGTCGCAGTGAAGATTGTATGAAACTCCGCAATCTGATAAATAGGATCCAACAATATATTCTGTGGCCGTTGACATGCTCCGGCGGGCGATTGCTATTGACCGTAGAAATATTTAACCATACAGTCGCCGAAGCAAATGTGACAGAGACATATTCAACTCAAATATTAAAAATCTAGTTGTGACGTTCCAATATATGATATATTTATATGGCATTTTCAAAGAATAATTCAATTGAAGCTAAAGGTATAAAGTCAAATGGTTGCTTTTTAAAATTGAAAAGGTGCATGTAGGAGAGTTTTTCGTCAATTTGAAACCCATTGTTTTTCTATCAAACAAGTGGAGGTATTTTAATCTATCCATTGTGTAACATATAATTATTATGAAGTGAAATATTTTAGTTTGACTTCGGATGAGAAATATTTTACAAGCAGTGTCCCTTTAATGGCTAAATGGATATTGATTCTGTCTTTCAGCAATATATCATCTTTTTGGACAAGCTTCAAAAATAAATTAACCATTTTGTTTCTTTTGGTCAGAACTACCTTGCAAGCAGTGTCCCTTTAAAGAGCTACATGGAATTAGTCCCTCAGCAATATATTATCTTCAAGGGTAGGCAATTGAATGAAGAATCAAAAATATATTGACCCATTAGTTGAGAACTACCTTACAAGCACTGTCTCATTAAATGGGTAAATGGATATTGATTCAGCCCCTCAGCAATATATTACATTCAGGGGCAGGGATGACTGATGAATCAAAAGTATATTGACCCTTTGATTCTTTGTTAAATATAGTTTAGTGTTCATTAGGATGAGAACTATCTTACAAGCAATGCCCCTTTAAATGGCTGAATGGATAATGACTCGGTCCCTCTGCAATATATCATCTTCAGGGGAATGATCCATCAACGATAGATTGGTCTATTTGTTTCTTTGGGTGAGAACTCCCTTACAAGGAGTGTCCCTTTAATGGCTAAATGGATATTAATTCAGTGTCTCTTCAACATATCATTTCAAGAGATAGACATGACTGATAAATCAAAAGATGATTGACCCATTTGATTATTTGTTTAAAACATTTTAGGGTTCATTAGCATGAGAACTACCTTACAAACAGTGTCCCTTTAATGACTAAATGGATATCAATTCAGTCCCTCTGCAACGTATCCTCTTCAGAGGCATGCGTGACTGATAAATCAAAAATAAATTGACCCATTTGATACTTGTCTGATAGTTTGTTGCCTTGGTGTCTGGCAGATCCAATATGGCCTCCTTTTTTAAACTAATTTTTTTGCTATACTTTCACATTGTATATCTTCTGCAGCCAGGACCCTCTCTCATTTCATGTTTGAACTATGCAATAATGTCAATACTAAACAATTAAGGTGAAATCAGAGGGGGTCTGACCTGCGGAAGCACCTCAATCTGTCAGTGACTGTATAAGGTCATCCATTCTTTAAAACAAGAACACAATAGGGTGCCTTTCAAAACAATAGGATTACAAAGTATCTATGCATGGTTGATCTGCTTAGTGAAGGTTATTATGCCCAGACACAATGAAGTTTTATACTGTCAAGTCAGTTTAAGTGTATCTACAAAAATCAAGATTTTATTAAAGGTTTTGTAAAATATGTGAAAATTACTCACTTTAAGAGTCAGAATGACATGTGTTAAGAATCACTGTAAAAAAACAACTTTTTACCATATTCTAAATATTATTTTTGTGATTTGTTGAAAATATACTTCTTAAAGATTCATATTATATAAGAATAATCCTGGAATTCCAATTTAACCTTTTCAAAAAAATTCTAATCTTTATAGGTACACTAATGGGTACGGATCCTTTGCACATGTAAAACTAGTTATATCTCTGATATAAAGATGAAGTTTCAGTTTTATCCTTTCAAATTCCTGATATAATTGGGTCAAAAACGCATGTTTTGGATAATTTCAATATGACGTCAATCCTTGTTACACTTGAAACATTGATCAATTGTCGTATTCGTTGTTCCCTCTTCAAAAGAGGAGACGCGAAAGATTTTCATCAAAATAATTCCCATGATGCAGTTCGCGGAGGAACAAATTTATACTTCCTTTTTTCAACCATCGGGTTTAACATGGGGATTTATATTTCTGGGACCTATTTTTCAATCGATATATTTGTTCATATTCCCGTACTGGAGTACAGAAAAAATTATCAGAAACGATTGATCTCCTCTTAATCTTGATATAACAGATAGTGGTGAAGACGAACTGAACATTTGACCAGGTGTCCAAGGCAGGTGTTTTCCTTGTACAGCTGCCTTTTGTGCAGATGTACAAGACATCATTTTTTACAAGTTACAACTAACTAACAACAGGAGCTAAAAATACACAGTCTCTTCTTTCCTTCCTGAAAATATGAACACTATTGGATAAGTATTTTCCAAGATATAGCGATTTCATTGGGTTGCGTTTTTAACATCCTGTACTAAGTCATTCAACTTCTGGTGGCGTAGGGTTATTTGGTTTAATCAAAGCTCCGTATTAAGCTACTACCTTGAAAATTGAAATAAAAAAACAAAACATTTGTGCACCATCTTCAGAGAAGAAAAATTAAGTCATAATTAATTTTAAAATCTACCTGTCTTATACCTGTATTATATAATAATTAAATTGCTCTATTTTGTTTATATCTATGATGTCACAATTACAAGATTATTCTAAATTGTTTTATGATGATATTCAGGTGTGCTTTATAATTAGGTTTCTATGGTAATGCAATTTAATGAATTCTTTACCTGTAAAATACCTGTATAACATTATAGTCTATTTGTTCTATTGTTTTAGTCTATGATGTCATAATTATAGCAACAATTTTCAGTTGCTTGAAAAAGATTTAAAGAATAAATCGAAATATTGCAAAACAAAATCAATTTGTTATTCCAATAACTTTGAATGATAAAACTAAATTTCATTTTTAATATTAAGGAGATTACTTGTTTCACATGTGCAAAGTTTTAGAAGTAGAGGTAAGAGGGTTTCGGAGATATCAGGTGACAAAGTGCGACCCATTCTTTGTGTATAATCCACACATGTTTATGCTTGTAGAGCTCCTCTGAAGCATGGCCGCTTTACTGGTGCTTCATCTTCTACATACTCAGAGAAGACAAGAATGATGCGTTATTCAGAAAAATGATGTTGAATAATGATGTCATTGATTGGACTCGGAATACAGAAAAATCGTTGTTTACGTATGGTATGTCACTCCAGTAAACTCTCCATAGTCCATCCCTCTCGCAAACGCTCGCATATTTTCGATTTTTTCACATTTGCTTCAATAGGGAAAAAGATCAACCTCGATGTGAGATAGAAACCTGAAACTTGCTGAGTACCTCGAGGGAATCATAAAACTTATTCACGGTGATTGATGTTAGAATCTGTTTTTGTTTGACAATATAGAAAAAAAACGTCGAACATAGACTTGCTTAAACGTGCTTTCCAATGTGAAGTCGAACTTTTGTTTCATATAATACTTTCTACAATAACCATTTTGTGATTTCTAAGTCAGTCAGTATTTATTAATGAACTGAACTTTTCATTTCAATATTCCTAAAACCAAAGATATTTGGGGTTTTCACGAAAATTGAGGCAGGTCTGTTTTGAAAAATGGGTCCAACATACTCCAAGGTAATAAACCAAGATCAGATGATGTTAAGGCCATGTAATTTGTTGCATACAGTGTAACTTTTATGTCTGTTCTCCCCCCCCCCTTTACTTTTTTATCTTTAAATTTATCATACTTTCCCATATATAGTTTTGAAGCTCATGGAAAATGCTGATCACCCTCAAAAGATCAATCATAAATTCCTCCTAATAAAATTGCTACAATGTTTATTGTAAGGTTGTAGTTGACCTTTGATTACGTCAAAACTAGTAAAATTACCAGGTATAGTGAATGAAAAGTGAAAAGTTGATACTGCAGTGACAATGCCATGGCCAACATTGGATGATTTCGATGTTTCTCAATATCATTACAGAGTAAAATGTGTTACATTCAGGGGAGCCTTTGAAGCAGGGGCATCTTTCATCACAAAATAGTTGATAACACCTAAAATGAAACGTTCTGAATGATTTATACAGGATCATATCCTCGTAGAATTGAGGCCCTCTGGGCTGCTGGGAGAGACATACAGACTATTAAAAAAGTGAAATATGGACATCACTAAAAATACTCTAAAAAATTTGGAATTCAACAATCACTCTGAAATTTGGTGTGTGATCAGCAAATTAAATTCCCTTTAAGATGATATATACCAACCGTATGTTATCTCTGAATTAAAAAAGTTAAGGGGGAGAACAGACTTATTTGACGCCCTGTAAAATTGTATACCATGTAAATGTCTAAATGAAAAGACGCAATTAAATCGCACTGAGGTAGAAACACAATAGAATGGACTGTCTCTTATTTTTAAGAATACCCAGCTATAACAAAGAGGAGTGCATTATTCTTCTATTGTTTTTCAAGAATGTACACTTGACATTAGCTATCCAAAACCAGCGTGGCACAAAAGATGATTGACTGGCTCATGCAGTACAGTAAAGCTTAACTAATTATACCCTATTTACTCTTCAATAGTTGAATAGTAAACACAAAAGAATTAAACTTAAAACTATTCATGCCCTGTTAAATACAGTGCACTGTAGCTGAACGAATTACACCCGCTAAATTCTCAATACACTTACCTCATAGTTAATACAAAAGAAATCAAATTTTCTAAAATTGGATCATGGACCACTTACCTTTGATAAGTGTCAGTGCCCAGTGTGTGGTTTAAGTTAGTTAGATAACGCCCCTTGCCCATTAATGTTTTCTAACCACCAAGACTTATTGTTTATTAATTACATAAAGAATACATACATTACATACAATACAGTCTTGTAACGTTATAGGACTATCTGAAACACAAAAATCTATATTCGATGAGGTCGCTCAGACATATGGTTGGGTTACTTGGGGTGAAGGTCTGGAAGGAAAGACATTCTCAATACAGGAGGATGACATTAACAATGCCTTAATGTAAGTATGAAAAATACTAAAAATTTTAGCCACTCATACCAACAATTTTTGGATGCCATTTTTAGAACACAGCCTAATCTCTGACAAATTTTACTTGGTTCTTACGCTGATGAACATTTTTTAAGTGCACTAATTAACATTTTTCAAATAATTGAAATTATCTCTCCAAATAGTGACACTGCAAAATAAATATGTCTATATTTCAAGAGAAGTACCATCTATGAAGCAGTTAACTTGTTCAACACTGCGCCTTGATGAAGCCGTTCTAGTTCAGCGGCGCTGGCAGCATATCCATGCAGATGACCCGAACGTCACAACAAAAATAGAGTTCTGCATTAAAAACTTTCCAAATATATGTCTAAGGAATGATAAAGATGAAGTTATTGCGCATATGTTGACTGCATGCAATGGTGAGATGCTGATGCTAAATGTGACCGAATCCCATAGACGTCAAGGACTTGGTACAGCTGTGCAGTTATTGCTGTGTAGAAAAATATACGAGCAAAATGAACGACCGTTTTGGATAGTGTTAGCAAAAAATGAGCAGTCTTTACAGATGAATGCAAAAATGGGTGCTAAACTCTTAGATAATGGGAAGATAGTGTACGGATATAGATATAAATACATTAACTAAATATTCTACATTGTGATGGTTGACACTCCCCAAAATTGATGAGTTAATTCATTTTGGGAAAATGTTTATCTTTTGCTGATATGCAATTATCTTGCATATGAACTCAACATAGTCTTAATCCTACGTGTATCTCTATTAAATTCTATAGAAGTAGAGCAGATTGGAGTGGAGTGGTGAAACAGGGTGGAGTAGAGCAGAGGTGTAAAGTGGAGGAGTAGAGTGGAGTAGATTAGAGGAGTAAAATAGAGGAATAGAGAATGAAACCGATGCAGTCTCCACTGGTTTTATGTTTTCTACCAATAGCACCTGGTCCCGTGCACTGACTTTTGCGATGTTTATAACTTGGTCCAAAACTAATTTTTGGCCCTGTTTGCAAAAGGAATGATTAGTGGCCTAATCAAGACCCAATGTCAATAAATAACATACCATTGGAAAGAAGAGACATGTGGCTTTATGATGCATTAAATGAAATCGATGCTGTTATCACTAGTTTCATGTTTTTCCAAGATAACCATTTGTTGCGTTTTTATACGCACTGTATTACGTGGGATAACGGAAATGTGTACGCTTGGAATTTCCATGCAGTTCTCATGACGTCAAAAGTTATTTTCAGGAATACATGACTCATTTCATATACGAACTACATATGTGAAACTACGTATTATGTACACTCACCTCCATAATGTAACCAACAATTTTTTCCTCAATTACAATTGGTCGGAAATTGATGATAAATCTGACGATTTTTTGAAAATTGACATTCCAATGTAAACCAATGATTGGTTTAGTTTCCTTTACTTTATTTTTTTGTGAATCTTTTACTGGATACATATGCTGGAATCAGATTTGCCCCGAAACCACCATTTCCTATTGGTTTACATGGGAATGACGATATTCAAAACTTCATCAAAGGATAGGTATCAATATGGTGAACTGAATTCAACAATGTTTTTCTCTTAAACCAATTATTGAAATCATTCTGTAAAAAACACGGTCCTTTATGTAATGTTGACTGAGTGGCCGGGTATACAGGGAGATATGCCGAGTACTAAATTAGTACAAAATTAGTACTAAATTAGCACTCGTGCCATGAGTACTCATGAGTGCACTTTTGCCAGAGTGCTAATTTATTATTACTTGAGTGCTATTTTAGTACTAATTTTGTGAAAAATAAGGGTTTATTTTATTACCGTTTTAGTAACAATATTTTTAAGTAATGATTTAGTACTAATTGAGTGCTGTTTTAGTACTAAAAAATTGCTCATTTAGCACTAAAATAGTAATCATTTACTAAATAATAAGCACTCAGCAGGTACCATTCTAGCTCGGATACAATTCACATGCTACCTTCAATTTTGTTATTTAGACCAACCCCCATATCAGCTTATATTTGTAACACATGATATAACTCACTTACCTTGTAATTAGTAACTTCTCATTTAATACAACTTACCTCATCTTTCACTTATATCATAACAAATCAATGTATATATATACTCACTTTTCTCAAGAATGGAACAGTATGGTGTCTGTCATATTGTTTCCTAGCTTCAACCCATTACATGAAATAGCTAAAGGAATGGGAATTTTTTGAAAAGCTTAATGATATATTTATCCATGTTTTCGTACAATTAAAATGTAATTTATAACGTATTCTATATTTTACTTCATCAATTAAAAAAATATTATCAACATTTTAATCTTTGAGTACTATTCTATCACTCGTGAAACATGAGCAATAAATTAGTACTCATAATATGAGCGCTCATTGAGTAATGAAAAATCAATGGAATTAGCGCTATTTTATCACTCATCATATGAGTACTCGTTTAGTACTAAAACATGCAATTAATTAGTGCTCATAGTATGAGTGCTCATTGAGTAATGAAAAATCAATAAAGGATGATTCTCGGTTTGGAGAACGAAGTTCATCACTCTAATTGAGCGTTATCCCTGCTTCTGACCAATTTGACTTTTTTTACATAATATAGATTTGAATGTCTTCTTTTGAATAGTCTTCTTTTGAATAGTCTTAAATTAATTTGGGTAATATTTCTAGATTTTCCATCAAAAAATTACTAGTGAACCACCCAACGTCGCTTTTATGATTCGTACCACTTTTTTAACTTGATGTATTGCATATTTCCGTGGGTCAATTTGAGAAAAAAGACAAACAAAGCATACAGGGATATGTCATGAGCATATCATGAAAAAATCCTTTCAATATGTTTTTAAGAAACATTCGAAAATAATTCATTCTTAAATCGTGTCCCATTTTCGAGATATTCTCTGACATTTTATACACATTCATCCAATAGAGGGCCTCTCAAAAGAGCGACTTCAGATTTTTGGCATTTTACAAGTCATATATAAAATTGATTAATCATCTATTAATTAGATGTCACCACTTGCTATGAACTATGCTAGTGGTGAATATAAGCTAGTCAATTGCTGTGAGCTGGAGAGGGTGTATTTATATCACTTCTATCCTACCACGTGATTACGTGGTCGATGGGGATTTTCTGCTAATAATAAACTGAAAACTGCCTGATGAATCTATACAATATATAGTAGAACACTTGGAATAAACATGTATGTAAAATCTAGTATAAGCTTACATTCAGAAATATGGAAATAAACAAACGTCCTTCCTTTACAGCTTCACTGTAGCCTGTACTCCTTTAAAGGGATACATCAATGAGTTAAAAATAAAAAATCGGTGTGGAGAATGGACGGGGAATCGAAACACAATTCAGCGCGTAGGAGGTGAGGAACTTGCCACAAGATTACGCCTCTTTCTACCTCTCTCTTCCTGATTTAAACCTTAAAATTCGCCCAAGCATCGATCAACGTGGTTATTATAGCTATAAATAACACGTTCATTGTTCAACCAATCTACAATAAGCCGTTGATGAGAGATAGTCTAGAGAGATTAAACAACACTTAGAAACACCTTAGAAAAATGGCGCCCGTATATGATTTTTTGTGTTCTTTTCTGTTTATCAATACAATTTATATTTTGACACGATTGCGATAAAACGTATACCTAGAAATGTATGGCTAATTACCATAAGCGACTGGTAAATGTAAACGTTGTTTGGTTTATCATATAAGAATCTGTAATAAAACCTCGATTGCCAAAATGAAACCATCGATTATGTTCAGTATGTTGCTATATATAATAAAAGTTTCCAGTCTTTTTTCAGTTGCCATTAAACAGAGTCATTAGTCATTTTGGATTTGCTAGATTGATGATGGCATGGGTTGTTCTTTTTCAATTTCAGCAATAAGTTAATCCTTTGTTATGGACATATTGCTACCTACAACCTTTGACATCATTAATCTAGCCAATAATCAGGTTCTTTGATGTACCAAATGATGGCAGGATTTATTGGAAAATAAACAACTTTTCATGTCCCCCATGCAGTATCGCTGAGCGTGAATTGATCACTCAAACTACGGATTTTATTTGCCCAAATAGCCTTGGATTACTGTGGTAACTAAAGTAACTGGAAAATGTAATAACGTTTTCGAACCTTTAGTGACATGAACAAAGAATTTTTAGCTTTTTCGATATAAGCTTAATTCACAATTTTCAGAAATTCACATCAGTTGATTATGCTTTGCACGCCGCTTAAAAGCGCCATCAAAGCGCTGTTGGTGTGAACTTAGCTTAACAAGTTACTTGGGGGAAGGGGAACAAGGGAGGGGAGTTTGGTAGACATTTCCACCAGAATGATGAAAGTATTCATCGATGTCATATCAAATATTTATGTCATATTGAACATTTATCTCCGCGCTAAAATACCGACGATTGCAAAGGTAGTTTAATCCGGTAGCCGACAGGCGTTTCTTGCATTCGTGAATACAAGCTAGTCCATTTCACTGTTGAATTGCGTCAGTAAAACCTAAAAATTAAGAAATCACAATATCATCATGCAATAATATATGGAAAAATATGTTCCTATTGTACATGAATGACATTTGTATAACTTGGATTGCTTCTAGTTTGGCTTATAAAGTGTGTGGCCTCTTATATATGGATGCTTCTCTGCCATGTTATTTTCAATAAGATTAACATGGCTGAAATTCTTCAAATTACAAGAGGTCACAGTCTTATTGCACAAAAAAACGAGAAGATCTGAAATATACAAATGTCATTCATGTACAACATGAATCTACTTTTCCATATATTATTGCACAATGGTCTCCCGATTTCTTATTTTTGGGGTTCTACTGACGCAATAAAACAGTGAAATGGACTCTAACCTTATATTCGCGAATGCAACTAACGCATCTCGGTTACCTGATTAACCCAGTATTCTATGACTAACTCATTTAAATGTGAATGGAATAGTGGCAGGTACTATTCGTTTTTACATGGGTCTCCAGTGAAATAGAAGGTTAATCCGGTAGCCGAAAGGCGTTATTTGCATTCGCAAATATAAGCTAAGACTATGATTTGGGAATGAAAGATTTCATCTACCGGATTAACATACTTTTCTATGGGCAACTCATTTAAATATTAAAAGTACCTGCCAATATTCCATTCATATTTTAATGAATTGCCCATAAAATAGTAGGTTAATCCGGCAGCCGACAGGCGTTAGTGGCATTCGCGGATACAAGATCATTTATTTTATAATTTGGGAAATATATATTTTCACAATATTGAAATAGATGGTGGTTCAAAGTGGAATACATATCATACAAAAGTGTCACAGATATGACTAGCAGGCATATACTTTTAGTATATTAGTCCATTTGTCACCCCTATACATCCAATAGTGAACCTGGAATTTGTTAAAAGTACGATGTTTTATGGTCGATTTATGATAATAAGGGTTTTCTGAAGTGATTTAACTGGGTTGCCGAAAAAGTTTGTTTGGGGAAAAAATTATATAGGCTGATTAGGGAGGGGTGCAATCGCTTAACATGGCGTTGACTATTGACTTAGCGTTGGGATACCAACATATACCTGGTATGTTACT